GGTATCAACCGTAGCAGTTGAACGAGAATTCAGTGCTGGCGGCAACATTCTAACCGACTTTCGAAGTTGTCTTAGCGCTGAATCTCTTGAAACACTTGTTTGCAACCAAGATTGGCTCTTGGCAAGACGTCGAGCTCAAGAGTCAACGTACCAACTCGAATCGGAGCATTACATGAATGCAACAACAGATGGAAGTCCGAGTTCTGAAGAATAAGTTATAATTTTTTTTTAATGTAAATATGTAATTAGTTTTTTTTAGCTGAGCGATATATAAGCTCCTTCGAGGGTTTCTTTACGGTTCTTTACCTCGTCGCTTTTTTTGAACCGTCAGGATATTAAATGTGGTTGTTCTTTAGTTAGTGTATTATTCATTTAAAATATTTAAATAACAACTACATTTTTAGATAACAACTACATTCCGGTACTTCATTCTTTCCTTAAACAATTGCAAATTTAAAATTTTATACTTAAAAATTTTAAAGAAAGCAAAAAAAAAAGGGTGGGGCGAAACCGGCCGGTCCGGTACCGGCCGGCACAGTGACGGTTCCGGTGACATGGGGTGGCGGTACCGGAACCGTACCGTGTCCACACCTACTCAAAGCTACTTTTTGCGTTAGCCCATTGCGATTTGCGACCAGTGGAATGTCTGTACAGTGGACTGAGTACAAAGGTTCTGACTTTGAAGCCGCCTTGCAGGCAACGTTATTTCAGTTATGAAATGACGACGATTAAGTGGGGGTCATGATGGGTCCCACCTCAAGCTCCATTGTTGCGACTTTCGATTGCTTTATTCACGCCATGATTTCCTTTCTTCTCCGGCTATATATTACCCTAAGCCTACCGATGAAGCTCATCATAGTTGAGCGCGGCAGCGATGAAAGGGCTATGGCGGTGGAAGACGCCACGGCCGCCGTCCGCATCCGCCTTTCTCGCCATTTTCGTCTCCGCGTTCTTAGTACTGGACTTCGCTCTCTGTCAGAACCTAGATGATTCCGGCGGTGGTGTAGACACCGGAAAAGTGGATAATCCGGCAGTGCGGGAGTTTGTGGCTCAGGAAGTCAACCGCCGCATCGCCAATGTGACCTCCCAGGCTTTCTCTGGTGACCTTGCTGCGGAATCAAGTTTCTGCGTTTTAAACAAGTAAGTTTTGCAAAAGTTTGTTAGGAGGTTTTTATGTTGGGGCTTATGCTAAACTCGGGAGTATTTATTTCAAGCTTATTAATTTGTTCCAAATGCAGAGAGAAGGATTGGAATAATGCATTTAATTTTAGTCTGAATTCGAAGTTCCTGAGAGATTGTGTTGCCAGAACTAAAGGTAGTATTGCCATTGCCATTGTTCTCTTGGCTGCTTAGAGATTTTTTTTATACCACAAATCGCTGCTGCAGTGTTTTCTTAATGCCATTGAAAGATACATGTAACAGCTAGGATGTGTTAAATGGGGCAGGTTTTAGGACTAGGTGTGTGCACTAGGATGTGTGCATTGTCATTAATCCACTATTATGACTAGGTGTTTGTTCGTTTCCGATTTAAGACAAACACGCCAGTCTCTTTTTTTTATGTGTAATTGCTAACTGAAATTCTATGAATGTTCATGTTGTTATCAGGAGATGTACAACAAAGGTTATGTACTGCAGGAGAAATAAGATCCTATCTTAGTAGCACCTTCACGACTTCGATGCGTTACCAAAAACCTAACATGAACTGTAATCTTACATCTTGGGTACCTGGTTGCGAGCCAGGATGGGCTTGTAGCACTGGCTCCAACCAGAACTCTGACTCCAGAAACTTGCAAGATATACCTAGGAGAACCATGGACTGTCAGCCTTGCTGTGAGGGATTCTTTTGTCCACAAGGCATTACTTGTATGATACGTAAGTATACCAGAAACTTTTAACATGTTATCTGTTACCAATACTAATGAATTCATTTTTATACTTTTCAATGACTTTTCCTTGCACCACAACAGTCAAGTAACTCACCCTTCTCTTTTCTTGAATACTCGACATGTTATCAAACCCAATAGTAAATTCCTAGTCATAGCCCCTTCTTTTGTGGACATTGGCCTAAATGTCGCGTTAAGCAAGTGACCTCACAAATCTGTTGCAGGTCTTGTGGGTCAAGATGTGTGCAACATTACCCTTGTAAAAAACGGAGAGGCACCTTGCAATAGACCCTTGATGCATCAATGCACTTACTGTCCAAAACTTCATACGGAGTAGAAAATAAGAAGCAAGGAAGCTTATTCTGCCATTTTAGTTTAGTCCATCAATGCATTGTAATATCTTGTGGGGGAGATTCAAAATCGTTATCATCTCTTCTCCTTTTGTTGCTCTGTCCCCGATCAAGCAATGTATTGCTACTGTGTGTGCTGGTGTTGTCTTTGTTTAGGTAATCAATCTGACACAAAATCTCCTCCCTGTCAGCATGAAGCAGTTCCCTTTGTTTCTCTAGCTTCAACCTTTTCACCTCGAGTTGTTTTATAGAACTATCCAACTCCACCCATTCTTTGTTCCTTTTCTCACAATCTGCAATGATCTCTTTCCTTTCGGCGGCAAGCCTTTCCATCTCATGTCGAGCATATTCCATCTCTTTTAAAGCGGTCTCTCTTAAGGATGTAATGGACTCCAATTCTCCCTTCTTTTCATCCTCAAAGACATGGAGGAACAACTGAAAGCGGATAAGGCTAAATTTGAGGCAGAATGGGATTGTATTGATGAGAAAAGGGCTGAACTGCGCAAGGAAGAAGAGCATATTGCTATAGAGAGGTTAGCCATTTCTATGCTGCTTAAAGAGGAACGAGATGCTTTGAAAGCAGAGGAGAGTGCTGAATCGGGAAGTGCTGAATCGGGAAGCTGAGCATGAACGTGAGGAATGGTTTGGAAAGATCCAGAAGGAACGCGCAGACTTCTTATTGCATTTTGAGATGAGGAAGGAGGAAGTAGAGAACTGTGTTGAGAAGAGACGTGAAGAGATCGAAAGTGACTTTAAGGGAAGAGAGAAGGCTTTTGAGGAAGAAAAGAAGGGAGAACTGGAGTCCATTGCATCCTTAAGAGAGACCGCTTTAAAAAAGATGGAATATGCTCGACATGAGATGGAAAGGCTTGCCGCCGAAAGGAAAGAGATCATTGCAGATCGTGAGAAAAGGAACAAAGAATGGGTGGAGTTGGATAGTTCTATAAAACAACTCGAGGTGCAAAGGTTGAAGCTAGAGAAACAAAGGGAACTGCTTCATGCTGACAGGGAGGAGATTTTGTGTCAGATTGATTACCTAAACAAAGACAACACCAGCACACACAGTAGCAATACATTGCTTGATCAGGGACAGAGCAACAAAAGGAGAAGAGATGATAATGATTTTGAATCCCAGGGGTTGGCCCAATACAGTAGGGTTATTACCCTAACAGTATGTGCTAATTTAACCACGTATGCATTTTCAAAATGTCATTTTCCATTCATGTGTGATATTTTCTACTTCTTGATTTTAGAAGGAAACCACTCTCCTCGTACATATACACATTGATTTTTAAGTTTGAAAGAATGCTCGTTCACTATTGATGGAAGTTAACAATCTCTAAACCTTTTGTAATATTTTTGAAGCTTGTCCCTTGGGTTCCTATTGCCCTCTTTCAACACTCAATAATGATACTGGAGTATGTGAACCGTAAGTTTGATGCTTTGTACAATGTGCATTTTCTCTCATTACTTCATTTTTATTTTGTCACATGTTCATTGATTTGTGACTCTAGATATGATTATCAATTACCCCATGGACTGTCGAATCATACATGTGGTGGGGCAAATATTTGGGCAGATGTTGCACATAGCTCAGAAATATTCTGTTCAGCTGGATCCTACTGTCCCTCAAATACTGAAAAGATTCCTTGCAGTAGTGGGTATTATTTTCTATCTGAATCTTCCCAGGGGTGTCAGTCTGTATTCCGTTTTTAGATACTGGAAAAGAAACATTTCACTAATCAGGCTGGTAATAATCAGTTATTTGACTGTAAACCTTAGTAATGGGCAGCGGGGTGATACTTGGTCTTGTTTATTTGCTTTTACTTCAACATATTTTCCTCCATATCTTATGGTGATGCTATTTGTGTAACTTGAATTGTCAGGAATTACTGCCCTACAGGTTCTACAGCTGAGAAACGTAAGTCAGTTGAGTATTAGTAAGAATGATCAATAATTCACTTGAAGTGACTAATTAATTCATTTTCCTATACCAAATCCATACAATTTAGATTAACACTCAATACTTTTTGGTTCTTGCTTCATAATATCAATAAAACCAAAAGAATAGCCATCATGGACAGAGAAAATGAGATCTGCAGCCAACACAGTGGTACCAAACCTGCAAAAAAAATATCAAGCACAAACAAAATGGGCAAAACCAATTCTGATTGCAATTTAATCTAACCAGTTAGGTGATGCAGGATCTTCAGTGTTATAAGGGAATGCATCCAAGTATGCTGAGCCTAAAGATGGCTTTGCTTTTACAATGGCCAGTAGAAGGTTTCTGTGGTACTCTGTTTCTGTAGCTCTCAGCTTCTTCATGACATCCAATAGTCGTCTTGGATTGCCTCTTAAAGGACTAGGAATCCTCTCCAGATCTGGCATCAACCCATTCAAAGGGTCTGTACAAACCATTAGCAAGACACTATGAGCTAGCTCCACAGCTTCCCCTCCATCATCTCTACCAGAAATGTTAACCAGTTGCTCCAAAGTCACAGTACCAAAAAGTACACTCCTAAGTCCAGGGGGCACCAATGACTCGGGAACCAGAACACGGTCACGCAAAACTGATAGCACAAGAATCACTGTATCGTCTTCATCTTTTCCTAGCCCGCGAAGCACCCCCAAATACAAATCCTTCTGTTGCAACACTTCCCTCAATAACCTGGCATTGCCCACTTCCAAGAAAGACATGGCAAACTCTACAAAAGCCTTCCTAGTTGAAGGATGTTTCCTGTTCACATCACCTTTCCTTGGTTTCCACTTGGCTGGCTTCCGAAAAAGTGGAAGATTAAAATCGAATACTTTTGCCACCTTCCCGGCTAACCACGAACCACGCCTCACAATTGCAGATAACAAAGACAATGTCGAATTCTGGCTCTTCACATCTTTACTGTTCAACTCCTTGTACAAATCATCCATTTTCTCATCCACAACCCAACGCGCAAACTTATCCAACAACTGCATATTGTTTTCGGATCTTCCGAAAGGGTGGCTAAGAACAGCTGCAATCAGATTGAGTACATACGAAAATCCAGGATTGCCTTTCTGAGAGTCCCAGGTCTGCGAGAGCTCAATACATTTAGGAGAGTTTTCAAGGTACAAACGAATCAATTCCGAACCAGATTCAGACTTTAGCAACTTGATGAACTCCTTTGAAGCTTCAAAACAAAGCTGATTTTCCACGGAGGTTATGTTTCGGAGGAGCTGCTTAAGCTTAGCTTCCATGGAAACCTTTCCCTCGAAATTGTGGGAGACCGATACCCCGCCGCAGTTGTTGTTATCGGCATCTTCCATTAGCGCTCTTCACTTTTACCAGTTAACAACCAATTGAGTCAAGGAAGAACAGAGGAAAGATGGAACGAAGGAATAAACCCTAAACCCACTGAACTCCTAGCCTAAAACTCGTCCCTCTATTTTTTTTTTAAATTAGAACTGATGTCGTTTGACAGCTTCTACTACTGTACCTTTTTTCTTTAGTGAAGATTTTTTATTACAAAGTACTCCACATTTTTTTATTATTCATAATATTTGAAATCATTTATACTCCCACCGTCTCGAAATGTTCTTCATATTTGAGTTTCTTAGTCAAATTTTTATAAATAAAATTAATATATTTCTATTGAAATGTAATTTTCAAATATCAATTTTTTATACTCCCTCCGTCCCTCATAGATCTTCCCAATATCCCTTTTTCTTTGTCCACAATAGATCTTTTCATTTCATTTTTTAACAATTAAAATATCATAACTACCCTCACTTACTTTATTTATTACACATCATCCACCTCATTTAATACACTCCACCCATATTTCATTAAGGGTATTATGGTAAACTTTCACATTTTTTCAACTCTCCTTAAAAACCACCAAAAGTCAAAATGAGAACATCTTAGGGGGACAGAAGGAGTAAAATATATCTATATATAAATATAGATATTAATGGTTAAAATGTAATTTAACCAAATGGGAAGAATATTTTCGAACAGAGAAGGTATATAAATTTGATTCTCCAAATTTTAAGAACTTTGCAACTTTTATTCTTTATACGGAGTATATATAAATTTGATACTCCAAACCTTAAAAACTTGACATTAGGCATATACAGAACTTGACATGTAGCATATTGAGACTTAACGTGTGAGGCATATTAGGTGGTAATTTAACTAAATTTAATCTCTTCAATTATTTCACCTTTTTTTTATTTCTTATAAAAATAATAACTATTTATTTGAACTCATGAATTAGAATTTAGAGTTAAAAATATTTTTCCTATAATTTATTATTTTTAATAAAATATTATTATTTTTTCACAACTATATATAAAATATTTCTAATTCTTGTCTCATATTCAATAATCATAAAATTTATGAAATTTTTTTAGAATAATAAATAAAATACACTTATAAATACACACCTATTAAATAAAATACACTTATTTTTTCTGTTCATTATACGTTTAGATGATATTCCTTTGATTATATTTATTTAAATATAAACACCTATTAAATAAAATATTTTCTTCACATATAAATAAATTTTAGATCTGTTTTGAAACAAACAATATATTTTAAAAATTACATTATAGCATTTATAAAACATGAGATGACTAGACTATAATTATATTGAAATAGGAAAAAAAATAATATGCAGAACTTTGTGGTTCGAATGTATTGATTTTATTTTTCATTTTAGTGTTCAATAATTATGGTTTATAGACCTTAGATCATTTATGATTGAAATATAAAAATATATTATTTTTCATTATATTATCTATTATGATATGATAATCTTAATTTAATTATAGAATACAATTATTCAACATTATTGAGTAAATTTAATTATGGAATAAATATCATTAATTTTATTAGAATATACAAGTGTTTTTCTAATTTTATATTTTCCACTTCATTTATGATAAAACTATCAATGAGTTAATAAGATTTATTTCCCTAAAATTATTTGTCTAAAAATAAAACTCATATTCTATTTTCGAAATGTAACGAGTGATTCACATTAAATCTCAAATAAACAACTTTACATTTTCTTAAATTGTAAGTTAATTTGGGACATAGTAAGTTTAATTTTCTTAAAAAGGAAATGGTAACGTTAATTTGGGACCGAGTAATTTTATACTTTTTGAAAATTTAAAAATATATTCAAGAATGTATATCTTGATTTTATTACTATGAAAATCAAATTTCTACATTTAATGAATTATATGTTTTAACATGCCAATTATTTGTTATGGAAACCAAATGTATAAATCACCTAAGATAGGACTAAATCATTGTAGAATTACTATATAACTTCTATAAATTATTTTTGTAAATTCTAAATTTCTGAAAATCAATACTCTAGAAATAAGAAGTTTTTATTTCAAATATAATAAATTTCCCAAAAATGAAATACAAATTTGATATTTATATCAAATTTAGTTTGATAATTCTCGTTAAGTAATATTTCACTCGTGCTAAAATAAGATTCGCGTTTAGTAAATTTAAATTTACTTTCTTTATACATTTTTATCAAGCATTTTAAAAAATTAAATAGTCATTTCATCAGAGGTTTTTATAGAACTTCGAATGTACATTTTATTATATACCCTAGAGTAGTAATTTTACAGAGTACTGTTTAAATTCTACACCAATTTTAAGTTGTATTAATTTGGAAATAGCTTCAGTCAAAATTTATAAATCAAAACATGGACTTTATTTCACAACTGGGGGAGTACATAAGTACAAAAAATATTAGTCTCTAGAACTTGATTGTTATACCCCGAGTATATATTTCAAAGTTGGCATACTGTTTCAAGGAATGCAGAATGGGGGTATCGATCACAATGAGTACAATCGACCACGTGATTTGAATACAAAAAATAAATCTCAAGTTTACAAAGAGTGCATAATAATGATCAATGCATACATTTTCATTAACAAACACAATTAAAACAAGGACAAGATTTTAGTGCAAACAGTGAACAAACATAGATACAAGATGCTAGATTATGTTAAAAAAACAGTTATGATCAAATAGCCAGCCATGGAATCTCAGATTAATGTAAAAGTTACATATATAATGACTACATACATATAAAAGCTGATAGACCAACATCACATCCCCGGTTGCTTTTAGGTATGTACCTATGCATACAAATTCAACCTCAAGGCATGCACTTGAGGGGCAGGCAGGGCAATACAATCTAGGAATCCGAGCTTCGCTTCTTGACCAATAGATTAGACCGATTATCTCTATCCCCTCCAAGGACATATACGCCCGGGAAAAAATCCAAATTATAAGACCTTTTTTTCTTATTCAGACTTCTCAATCTCTCTGAAACTTTGTTCCCACTGTTTGGCATCATAATCTTGTTCATACAAGTCTCTGTCAGTGCTGTAAACTATCTTCTCCTGACCAATAAAAGTCCTTTGAGCCATATCCCGTGCACTCAAAAGCTGCAAATAACAACATATGAAAGAACTGTATGGGGGGACTAAAACAGAAAACTGGCATCTTAGCATTCATCGCTTGTTTGAAAGTAACTAAAACAAGTGTGCAGGTTGTTGCTTAAAAAAAATACATTGAACACAATAAGCTTATGGACTATAATGAGATTAAGAGTTATTTTTCTTAACAATGAACACAAAAGTATTTTATGGGTTTTCCTATGTTTAGCACCAGAAAATATTTTTCTTCCTTGATTCTTTGAGAAAAAGCATCCTCTTGAAATGTCTTCCTGTTTTCAAGAGAGTTATTTCCTGAGCTGGCTTTATATTGAAGTACGGTTGTGAGTTAAACCGTATCTTTCTTTAAAAAAGGGAACATTTTACACAACTTATACTATGTTTGATCTCACTGCGGAAAAGTTGTCTTTGAGTAAAATAACTTCAAGTGTCATGGTAAAATGTGTTGTTGAACAAAAGGGGTTCAGTGTTTTGCTTATTAAGTATTTAAGTGTTTGTAGGATAATAAGGTTAAAGTTGGATTAGAACAACAGAGAGAGATGCTGCTGAGAATGAAAATGTGCTTACAAGACCCGTATGAAAACAAATTTATTAAATCTCCAATTTGGAGCTTTTGAATTCTAAATCATTTTCAAAAAGCACTTCTGAAAACAGCTAAATGAACAACTTTAAGATTCTAAGGGTACATTTGTTTTGGATTGAAAAGTTGATTCTGGATTTTAGAATGAGATGTTTTTTAATGAAGTAATTCTAGTTTCTAGAACGTGGAATGAGATGGGTTGGTAGTTTAAAAAATAGATTCTTAAGGTAAAATTAATAGAATCTGCTGATTTTTTTGAGTTTGCAGCTGATTCTTCGAATCAGATTCTAAAACAGGTCTGATTTTTTCAGAAACTAAACAAATGTAATACTTTGCTTATTCTAAGTAGAAATCCAAAACAATTAGAATTGACAGAATCTGATTCTAAGTAGAAATCCAAAACAAATGAACCCAAAATCACCTAAAAGCACTTGGATCGCGAGACCCATATCCTCCAAGGATTTTAAGTTCCATTTGAAGCTGAAATGACATAAGGTGCTAAGCAGGGAAGGCAAAGGTAAATAAAATGTACGTAGTAAATATTATCGCAGTTGATTTTAGATTATACCTTTTGCCATAGAACGAGGTCGGGACGTTCAAGAGCCCTGACAATTTTTTTCCTCGTAGTATTTCTCCGTTCAATTTTGGCATTTCTATTTTGAATGAAAACCCATCTAACCGCTGGGATTGTGAAAAAAGACCATGCATAAACCTGCAAAGGTTGATGTGAACTAATCACATGTCCAGTAATATATACTCCCTCCGTCCCTAAATAAACTTCCCTTTTTTACTTTTTAAGGATTCCCTTTTTTACTTTTTAAGGATTTAAGGGAGGGATATTTTTGTGTTGACTTTCCAAAAATACCCTTGATGTAATGTGTAAAAGTAAGATGTGATATGTAGATTATTAGTAAAAAGGTATGAAAAAGTAAAGGGTAAAAGGGGTTTTTAAGGGAAAAGAGAAGTTTATTTGGGGACAAAGAAAAAACGAAAGGGGAAGTTTATTTAGGGACGGAGGGAGTATATTATACATAAACATAGAATGGGATAGAGGGAGGAAGCCATACCTGGAGTAGTGGAAATATAGAAGTTACAAAAGAGAGAAAGCTACTCTGGCTTGCGGTTGTATCCCTTCAAGATAGAAAACAAACAAAACATATCAATTAGAATGTATATAAAAAAACAAGGTAGAATAAATAATTTCAACCGGCAGAGTCAATACTTCAACATGGCACCAAGGATGATGACGCCAAATAGATTAAGCCCACCCAAACCAATTGCCATTGCCCTCTGTGAAAGGCTGGTTTTGCTGCATGGAGAACAATTTCTTAATACTAAAGAATTGAATTTGTAATGGATTTTTTTAAAAGTAAAATATACTTATGAGAAATA